GACCAGAAAACTGAACTCGTGTTTAGTTGAAGGTGCTTGTCCATCTCTGTTCGAGCAGTCCAGTCTCCCGCCACGATAAGTATATTTCTCTTGGGGATGCGATTTACTACCTCTTGAAGATTGTCGAAAAACTCCTCCTTCGCTGAGCTGTTGGATGGTAGAGTGGAGACGTAGACTGCTACCACGGCGAGGTTGGTAGGATTACCTTTGAAGAGTGCTACAGCGATCCTCGACGAAATTCGTTCCCAAGAGAGTAGGGCAACGTTGGCATGCTGGCTCAGCGCTAACGCTACTCCCTGTTGACCTGAAATTTCTGAACCACTATGGTAAAAATTGTGGTGGCTATCAGAACCGGGAACCTTGATGCTACGGGAGCCGGAGCCGGCTAATCGTACTTCGGATAAACATGCAACATCTACGCGGTAGTCGTGTAACGTGCGCATAGTCACTGCCTGACTCCCAATGTTCAAGAGGGTTCTCACGTTCCAGCATCCCATATGTAGGTTGAAGAGGTTGAGGAGGTCCAGTTCACATTATTGACACCCCGACCACTGGAGGGTCGCACCGCTTACCGGGGACGCCGTAACATGGGTAACGAAGCTTGCAGAAGACATAATCATGGAGGTACTTGGGAGTTTAGTAAGAGAAACGTCCGCAGCGTCATTCGGCGTTTTTTATTTTGAGGGTGCACCTATAGCCTTTGCACAACCAAATGCGAACTGCAAGGCAGCAGAAAGCAAGCCCTCGACTCGAAAGTGAGGGGGGGTCAATGACTTTAGTTTTTAAAGGCCAGTCACATCAACCTTTGTCACGACACCGTCATTGGGCTTATGCGGCCTTTTTTACAGGAGCCAGGTGACCAGTCTGAAACCCACCACACCCTGGTAGTGCCGTTGTTGTTTGTTCGTGACTGCTTATTTGTTGTAGTATGCTACAATTTATTCACAGCTAACCTTCTTCGGTGAAGGTATCCCCCTATCCACAACCCGGGGACGCACCTGGTAGCATTCAGATCTGCTTAACCCGAGGGGGTGTGTATATAGATAAATCACTGAACCAAATCGATCATTATTATCATCATTCAGTTTATGCTGGTGAATTAGATGATCTAAACGAAGAGTAAACCGAATGTGAATGTCTTGCCACAACCTGTTAGTACATGAAAGAACCAAGGGAACACATCAGTTTCAACAAAGTTTAGATTTTACAACCATCAACCATGCACTTTCGTGCATCGGCTTTAGTTGCTGTCTAATGACTGCCCATTGGGAAAGCGATTGTGCGGCTGTGCGAGCTGATAATAGACGCCAAAAAATGAAATGTAACAGTGCAACGGTCGATTTGCCCGAGGGGAATTACATTATTCGTTTCCATATTGATCGTTGAGTATTTCAGGAAATGGTCACATTAGAAAAATGGCCAGTTCAATATGATCCCCCAAAAACGTTAATTTCAATATTACAATCCCTCTACAATGATAGCCGAAGCCGAATCCGAGCTTGCAGCACGTTTTTACCCGAGTTCACCAAGGAAATTGGTGTTCGACAGGGTTACCCTCTCTCTCCTTTTCTTTTTAACTTTGTCATAGATTTAATTCTTGAAACAGCCCTATCCTCGTGCAAGGATAGCGGTACCGATTTACTTTCGAGTGGCAGACTGTCCCTGATAGAGTATGCAGACAACATTGTGCTACTAAGTGAAGATCCAGATAAGTTACAAGCTTCTGGATAGGTTTGAGTGCTAGTGTGTCCATGTTCGGTATGCGTTTTGCACCTTCAAAGTGTAAAATGCCTCTCCAAGATTGAATTGGCCCAGTCCCCAATCTCACCCTGACCGGGGAAGTTGTAGAGAAAGTAGACAAGTTTTACTTTCTGTATGCTGTATGTAAGCTATGTATGCAGAGTTCGATTGTGTACGTTGTGTTGACCATAAAGGTTCTTTTTCTTTGCCTCCCTCCAAGTAGGCCCAATTGCTCTCCATCTTGTGCTTTATCACTTGATTTGTGTACGTTGTGAGCTTGGCAGCGATCAGTGAAGTTCGCTTCATTTTTTCTCGCTGTACGATGATGATGATGATGACGACGTCGGTTCAATTCGTGTATAGATATGTATCTATCTTTGATTATCGAATCCCATTTATGTTTTTCAGCTCGGTGCACATTCTACGCTTTACTCTCTCTCTCTCTCTCTCTCTCTCTCTCTCTCTCTCTCCAGCCTCAAACAGCTTCGGCTTTGTACCATTTGGTTATCAATGTGTCTAGACAGTCCCGATACCCGGAACACACTGACCCCGGGCTTGGTCGGTCTGTTAGTACTTGGAGCAGGGCATGCTTTACTTCGTGCCCCGGTGGACGCACACGATGACGTGTGTCCACGTGCCACGGAAATGCAACTGAGCCTGTTGGCTCGATTGGCTCACCGGCAAGACTATTGGTAAGTCTCTGATACGATTTTGTCTACATGGCCTATGATGTATGATCACTTTCACTGCTGTTCTCGGATGCGATTGACTGGACAACTGACCCTTGTCCGAAGTTGGAACAGCTGAACTGCGTCGACTAAGGCCAGTCGTGATTGGCTTCTAAACGGGTCACGGGACTCGCAAACAACCGAATAACTACTAGTGAAACCAGAGAACTTGTGGTTGTGACAGACGTTTATTGAATTACCGTGACATAGGAAACAAATGTATCGGTACTCGCTAACGAAAATTTACGTTAAGGCACGAAGGCAATCGCAAGCATCGAGTGCGATAACGTGCAACCAGGTCGAAAGCGGAAAACGAGCTTTCTCGCGCGCAGAAGGATACAGTATATAGCAACTCTGTAGAATCAGTGTTAAAACGCGTTGATACTGAGATCGAATTGTGAGCGTACAGTGTGAGGTTGTCAAGGAAAAATGATATCCGGCAAATGTCTGATATTGTTTGGTATTCACCGTACACAATTCACTCTAATGTGCACACCTTACAGTCTCGTATTCGAAGAGGCATGCACTTATACAGTTCAGAGAATACTTTGATACACGTGTCTGTGTGCAATTGATGGTAATTGATTATGCGAAAGTGAAACACTATTCTCACACAAAAAATGTCCAAAGCGTTTCTGCCCGTTTACTCTATGGCTCCTTGTTCCCCCCACCCGTAGGCCACACTATCTACATATTTTACATTTTATAAACGCAAACCAAAGCGTTCAGAACACGTTCAATGCGTCCCTATGCTCCCCGACTGTGGATTGGCCAGCAGTGGATATAGCGGCGTCCGTGGCTCTTGTTCAGATCGCTCTGGAACGTTGGATCGTCCGGGCAGATTCCTTGACCGAAGCTATCGATCGTCGTTGTTATGCTCTGGCTTGCTTGCAGTCTTTGGCCTATTGTGCGCAACCGTATCCCGTCGAACAAATCCACAACAGCCCGTCCGAAGAACAGTTGGAACAGTGGGCTTTACGGGATCCCATACACTCGCACTGGTTGGAACCGGTGATCAGTTTGTGCATACAGGTGTGTGTTCGTGTATGCCATTTGCACTCTTCAAATCGATTTTGCATTTGAGCAAAATGACTATCCTGGATAAAATAGTATAGCCTTACATCTGTCGTTAGACTGTTTTTGATATCTACTAAATATTAAAAAAAAGCATTTGGGTTGATTTTCGCATGTATCATGGGATTGTTCACCCAAAATGGCTTTAACACAGTGATCTGAATGTACGGTTGTCCTAATTATGCAAAGGAAAGTCGCACTAAAATGGCTGGCGCATGTCTTACAGACCTTATCCCGATCATCTGGCTGAGTCAGACAACTCTTCTTGATGCAATCATGCCTGTCTAGACGACTGATTGCGTTGTGCTATGCTTTTACACAATCTCTGTCCCCATGTATAGTCTGACCTCGTTTTACTCCTTCCATCCGATCATGGTTTGATCATCAACATATCTTTCAGTCATGGTCATGGATACGCAATATGAGTGTTCACCCGAGGAAGCGATACGCCAGCCGACCTCGTAGATGTTCAATCTATAGGAGCCAGTATTCTTCGGGTCATTTCAGTTACCACACATCTCTCCTTATCCATCCATCAATCATAGTCCACCATTCATTTCAGTTTAACTCAACCAATTGCCTCAGTTTATATATATATTTCGGGCTTGGTGCGAAATTAGGCCCGGTAGGGAAAATTTTTCGAACTTTCTCATCGGGATGTTTGCACAAATGTTATTCACTGGTGAGAGTTGGCGGATGTGGTAAAAGATCATTTGATAAGATAACGCCTTCCTCAATCAAATAAATGAGTGTATGCAACAGAAGCAGTTGGGTGCAGAAACTTGGCCATTATGGAGACCGAATAAAGGATAGACTATCGGCGTTCGAACATCGTTGTCTACATCTACGCATTACACGAGTCTGGTGGGAAAACCGGGTAAGCAATACTGAGATTAGGCGTAGAGTTTTGAGTGATCGCGATTGTCCACTGGAACAAATAGTCGACCTCCAAAGACAGCGTTGGTCGGGACGTGCTGCGCATGTCATCAAATAGGTTGCCACCGCGCGCAATGTTTACCGAGACAGGTAGCGAATGGAAAAACGTCGAAGGCGGGCAAAGTAAGATCTGGTTTGAGGATATGAAAACCCTAACCAGGATACTTGGTCACATTATTCTTGCAACCACAGTCCATATATGAATTCTCTATCTGCTGTTTGACTCTGCGCTCAACATTCCAATCTTCATTCTGTTTTTTATCCAAATGGGCAGCCAAAAAAACAGCAACTAAAACTGGCGCACGAAATTGCATGGTTTATGGTTGTAAAACTGAAACTGCATACTCTAGTTTCCGACACTATACATCCCGATTCTGTTCTACTTACCAAGCAGTAATCTTATGACTGTTGCCCCTTCTGGAATGAATGAGAGATTACTTATCTCTCTCTCTCTCGGTGTCTGAGGTTGGGTGATATGATGGTTATCGGTGCTACTGAACAATTCGGGTGAACTGAAAGATACCAGTTTATCAGTTTTAAAACTTTTATTATTAGTGACTTACTTTTTACTCCCCCCCCTCACACAC